CCCCCCCCCCCCCCCCCCCCCCCTCCTGTGTTTTGAAGCTCGCTCTGGGCGTTCACCACCCACCCGTACCCGCTCATATCGACAGTTTCAGGCCTTGTGTTTCGTTTTCATGGTGCACGAGAAGATGGGTGTTTGATGCGAGCGGAAGCCGTCTTATTTATTTTTTCCGATGTGTTCGTTGACGTTTTTCTTTTGTTTCGTGCTTCCTCGTGTTTTTTTTTTTTTTTTTTCAGGCGCATTAGAAGACGATGTTTGAGCGTGGACGACCTCCAGTTCTTGTCGAGCCGAAGGAGGAACGAAGCGTGGACCGCCGACTGGGGTGAGTACATGACACCGCCACCACTACCAACCGCCGCCGCCGCCGACACCAACAGCAACGTAAGAGAAAACCACATCACCAACCAACACGCCTGCTTGTGAACGTCCCCCACGCTCTCGAAGAGCACTTGACAGGCCGGAGAAACACTTTCGACCGCAAAGGCGTCGGCAACGGTCGATCAGCAGCGGGAGAGGGTGGCAACGAACAGAACGGCGGTCCTCGTCTTGGCCGCAGCACCAGCAGCGACACCGCCAAGCGAAACGGCACCCAAGGCACCGCCGACGTCCTCGACAGCAACAACTACTACGAACCACACTACCTGAGACCCGCGTGGATGCGGTCGGGCGTGGCCTCGGGGGTGGCGAGCAGCCTGGCCGCGGCGATGGAGACCAACAGCAACGCGCAGTTCGTGTTCAAGGGCACCATGCGCGGCGGGTGCGCGCTCCTGGCGATCCTGAGCCTGTTCCTGGCGTCCTGCCAGATCATCAGCCTCCTGCAGGAGCAGCACGAGTGGTGAGTTTGAGAGGTCGGAGAAACCCGAGCCAAAAATCGCTGTTTGTGTTTGTGTTTTTGTTTCCTGCCCCGACTCCTCGCTCATGCCGACTCCGCCGCCGCCCCCAGCTTTATGTTGCTGCCGTTGTTGTTGTTGTTGTTGTTGTTGTTGTCGTCGTCGTCGTTGTTGTGCTTACCTTAAGCCTGTTCTGATCTATCTCTGTCCATTTTCTCCTCCACCCCACGTACTCTTGAACGGAACGGGGCGGATTTTCAGGAACGCACACTAAGCGTAGAAATGAGGTTCCTTCATTATCCCCGGCTTGCTTCTATTTTTCATTCCCGGCTTGCTTCTGGTTTTCTCTTCTAGAACGAGATACAGTGGTACTACTGCTACACCCCCTCCTTTTTTGGTGTGTGTTTTTCCTTCCTTGTTGTTCCCGGCTTGTTTACCATTATTTTCTATTTTTTTTCTTTCTGCCATCTTTCTTGTCCGGGTGTGTCACGGCCTAGCCTCCATTTTTGCGACCGTTTTCTTTCCGGTGTTGCAATTTTTTTCCCTCTCCTGGCATCCCACACCAACACATGTTGACAATGTGTATTTCTCGTTTTCTTGTTTTTTTTTGTCAGGTATCCCAGCCTGATCAAGTACTCCGTGACGGATTCGAAACAGCTGGTGGTGGACAACGCCTTCGTGGTGAAGGCCACGCTGGAGACCACAGGGGATCCGGTCATCGTGCCGCCCAAGTACGATATGTAACCGTTTGTTTGTTTTTGTGTGAAGAAGGTGTAGGCTGACTGACTGACTGACTGACTGACTGACTGACTGACTGACTTGCGCCAGGAAAAATGTGACGAAAAACAGTATTACAATAAAAAAAGGGGCAAAAACGATTTGTTGGCGACGTTGTTGGTGCATTGATGTGCTCGTTCATGACCTGCTGTATTCTAGGCCATTTTTTCCCCTCTTTTTATCCTCGTGAATGAGCTTTGTTTATTGCATTGGTCGCTAGCCGTGTACGTCGACGTTGTGTTGGTGTGGTGGTGTTGTTGCATGTGGCTAGGCAAGGGCCACCTATTGAGACCACGGGGGGGGGGGGGGGGGGGCTCGCCGAGAGCACGCCACGTACATCCGCGCGGGCACTCGTGCGTGGTTCGCGGCTTCCGAGACACATGCAACAGAACAGCTTCGCCTATACGGTGGTGTGTACTAACATGAGTCTAGATTGCGGTTTTGGCGTTTGGTGTGAGTGTTGGATGATTTGGGCGATTTTGTGGTAGTGCGTTTTAAGAGTCGCCGTGATGTGTGTTGTGGCGCGTGGTAGCTGCCGAGGCTCGTGCTTTGCTCGTTGTGATGGGTGACGAGACCAGAAACACACGATGCGTGCCATAACTTTTTGCCCATACGACACACGCTGGATGCCATGGCATTTTCCCAAAGTCCACACGCTTCGCGTCATTACAGTACCAAACGACACCCGCTGCATTCCATGACATATTGCCAAACTACCCACGCTTCTTGTCATTACAATGCCAAACAAATGTGACGCAGGTACGCCTCGTGCGGATCGAAGTGGCATGGGCTGAGCCTCCTTGACTACGCCCTGCTCGCGGAGCTCGCGTACTTCGACCAGCATGACGACAAGGTGTGAGTGAGAAGAACCAGCTGAGCCGTCTGTTTTTGTGTTAAAGTCTGTGCCGCGTGAGGTACACTGGCTGGTGTGATGTTTGGGCTGTCTGTCTGTCTGTCTGTCTGTCTGTCTGTCTCTCTGTATGCCTGTTTGGTACCATCATCTAGAACACACGCTACTTTTACACTCTGCTATGCACACACAGCAATAATAACTGTGACGTATGTGCAGCTACACATCTACCGCTGCTGGACACAAGGTGGAATAAAAACGCAAACGCTTCAAGTGTGCGTGGGCGCGCGCATACGCGGCGGCAGGGTCTTGGGTTTGTGTGTTTTTTTTTATTGTTAGCATCGACCGCGCTAACCGGCTGACCAATGAAAAGACGTCAGTCTTAGTGCGGTTGAAAACACAAAACACTTCTATCTGCCATGAACTGGGACCCCGTGAGGGGGCAGCATGGGAGAGGCTAAACTATCCTTCGGATCAAAGACAGAAACAGCAGCAACAGAAGAAAACTGGACGCGTCTACCTTAGTGTGTGTGTGTGTGTTTCGTTTCACTCTCTGGCCGATGACCAATGATCATATCGTAGGTCGGTCGATTCCCGGCGAAACAGGAACGAAACCGCTTTCCCGATCTCGTCGGCATTTGGGCACGCACTGGTGTGGGTGCTGTTGGCTTCGCGTTCGCATGACTTGATTTCTGCTTCGGAGTGATAGCTTGTCCCGTGCCACAAACATGAAATTGACAGCTACTAAATGTGTAATTCCTCCCCCCCCCCCAAATCCGTTCCCAGGTGCCATTGTCTGAGGTAGCAAAGCAGTTTTTCCCACCGGGAAAGCACGGGCCCGACTTCAAGATCAAGGTGAGGTCCAGCAAGCGCTTCCGCACGAAATTATTCATGATTTCATTGTCGTGGTCTTTTAAGCTATTAGCTGGTCTTGGCGTGTTGTCTTGAGCTTGAAAATACAGCAGAGATCCCTATTTAGTCCCGGTGTGTGCCCAGCAAATTTCACCACCACCACCACACCGGACACCGGGTGTTCACACTCTTCCAATCACAGAACGAGTTGGTGTTTCCAGGTGTGCCCGCGGGAACCACCGACACTGGCACTAAACGGGGACAGAGACCTCTATGTGCTGTGCTACATTCAGAGTCAAAATCCAGATGATATCAGTTGTGCTCGCTGACGGTAGAGACGCTTGTGTCTTATGGTACGGTGGAGCGAAGGTGAAACAAGGCGACGATCTGCACAGCCACGCGCAGTTCTTCGAGGCGTACTCGGCCAAGCTCAACGTTTCCGTGGTGGCCATCAGGGGCACCGACGTCGGGCGTATCTCGGACCTCATCGAGGACATCAAGGTGCGGCTCGGCACAGGATCACAATGTGAATGTTTGTCATCATCGTCATCATCGGTGTTGTTGTTGTTGTTGTTGTTGTTGGTGTTGGTGTTGGTGTTGTTGGTGGTGTTGGTGGTAGTAGTGTTGTCGTTGTTGGTGTTGTTGGTGTTGGTGTTGTTGGTGGTGTTGTCGTCGCCGTCGATGGTCTTCATACAATAATAAAAAACGTTCCGATCTCTTCCCACTGCCCGCAAACATCCGGACTGGTCCAACTGAACGCCGACTCCGCCATACTTTTTTCCGGAAAAAATAGCGACAAGTTTTACCTGCTGTGCTTGCTGCCAGTCACACTTTTCCCTGGCATCTCGGAAGACCTGCGGTCACGCTGGTGACTGCCTCCACTTCAGCACCGTCGCTATTGGTGTTGTGGTAGAAGGGAATGCCTCTCTATGAGACAAGAAAATCAAAAACGACCAACGCAAAAGCTAGATCGAGGAATCCTCGAGACCATCGGGATGTCGTTTCTACCAGCATGACACAGTAGCAGTCCAACCAACCCTCTTGGGGGTGTTTTTTCGTAGCCGACTTGTAGACCCTCGAGATCTCCACAGGCATTGCAGACGCATGACGATAAAACACCAACACCGTTGTTCTCAAGGGCTTTCCGAATTATCAACTTTTTAGGAACTTCAGACTGATACAGGTGGCGTTTCGTGGCATCCCTGGAGATACGAGAATCGCTTGCTCCTTTCTTTGCCCGTCGATCGAGTGACGTGTTGTGTTTAGCCCGCGATGTATTTTAGGTTTAGCCTGTGTGATGACGCGGTTTTTCGTCTCTTTGCCCTGGAGACTGCGAACTAGGAAGTTTTTTATAAGAGATCAGAACAGTTTTTAAATGTGAAGAGGACAGCAACAACAACAACAACAACAACAACAACAACAACAGCTTATTCATGATTCGTTTGTTGAGGCATTTGAAGAGATGCTCGACACAAGCTTCAGGGAGGATGCACGCCGAGGCCTTTCGACAGCATGCCACACGTGTTTCGTCTTTCACCTGTGGCCACCGCAAAGCACCTCCCCGCCTTGGGGTCGTTTTGCATTGGGTGTGTGCGCGTGTCGTGCCGACCCTCGCCGTCGACATGAAAGCCGCACACCATGAAGTCGAAGGTGGTGCCAACGCGAAACGTTCGCTTGGCTGTCGAGAGAGAATCAGGGGGACAGCACCCGCGGCACTGCCTGCCGAGCAACGCTCACCGTGTGTACGCATAAGCAGCGCCTAATGGTAGCTCCCGGCGAGCAAGAGCACCCCGGGATCCGTTAACAGGTGCTCGGGTGATACGTATGGGGACCAGCTGCCGCTGCGGGAGTTTGTGGGTACAGATCGCAACAGCGCTACCGCATGTTGCACGAGATGTCACACACCCCAGGCCGATTTTCAAAGCTTGATTACTCGGCGAGGAAAGAAGTGACGGTGCCGGAAAATGTCGGAGTTGGAACCGTCCGGTCGAGAGCTTTCCGAACACGCATCGTTTGCCTTCGTCATCCTCTTGGTCGTGGAGAAATCGAGCTTTGAACATCGGTCCAGCGGGTATGGTGTTTTACGCAACAGCGCTGTTGTTGTTGGTTGGTTGAGCGCTCGGTTGTTTCGCACGCACCGCAAGCTGTAGAGTGCTCCCGTGTGTGGCACCAAACCTTTTCGCTTTTCTTCGCTTTCGATCTGTGCTTTTGACACTCGGGGCGTGTTGCAAATTCTCCGCAGATCTGGGTGGAGCCGATCGTGCTCAAGGGGCTGTCCATGGTGTTCCCGACGATTAGGATATGGCCCGACTCTACCTCGTCCGTGGTGATAGAGTGGCTGCACGAGACGCTTCAGCTGTTCGGCTTGCAGCAGCAGGTCATTGGAAAACCGGTTAAATAACGTTTTGGTTTTTGCAGCGACACACACACATAACAAATTTACAGTAAGAAATAAAAAAAAGAGAGGTGGCTCTCGCTTTTGTTGCTTTTGCTTGTGACGACGACAAAGTTCTTGGAAAATATTTTGCTTTCTCCATTTTCTTTTTGTGAGAAAAAGGAGTAAACAACATCTCGCAGAAAAACTACCCGTTCGACATATAACCCTTTTGTTTTGTTTTTTCTTGTCACAGGCGCACTACTACCGGCCGTTGCTGGAGTACGTCCGAGCCATCGAAGGAAGGAACGTCGTTCTCACGGGGCACAGTCTTGGCGGGGGGCTCGCTCGCATAGTCGGCGCGCTGGAGAAGTGAGTTCGGACCTGGTGTTGTTTTATCCTCCAGCGAACAGGGTGTGCAAGGGGCTCCTCCCGGTCATCCGTCACGCTTTTCTTGCTGTTTGGTGTTCGATTGGCACACACACGTGGCTGAATCGACCAGTACGCGTTTTTGTTGGTGTGCTTCGGGAGGTTCTTGATCTGCCGTGTAACACAAGGCTCTCCCCGGTTGGTGGCACACGGACACGCGGGTTGCTAAACGCTCAGAAGTCATTTTCGTCCGAGATGTGTGAACGGGCGAGAGGTGACTCACGTCTCTCTCTCTCTCTCTCT